CAATAAGGCTTTTCTTAAGCCACCAATGAAGAAGTTTTTCTCAGCTCTGGCTCTGCAGCATCCAGCTGACATGGGTTTCACGTTTGTGGCTAGCTTGTGATGAAGGTATCACCATCTCCTTTGCATGGCATGGCAAGCAATTCAGAGGAAAAGCCCCCTGGTTTTCTGTTGCAGCATCAAGTGGTGGAAACATTTGTCTTTTTCCCCAGAGCACATTTCATTTATTGTAAGTGAGAAATGGAGCTATTACCATGAATATTACATTTGTGATGAATGGATAGACGCTCTACTATTCTGCACCACGTAATGGAGGAAGCCAGGGTATTTTCTCTGACTTTTGAGTCTCCCCTGCAGATTGCAGCTGAGAGCAGTCCAGGCTGAGCCACCAGCCAGTTTTGTCAAGTAGTTGATACAATCGTGGTGTCATGATGAGCCGCACCGTGCAGAGGAGGGGAACATCCAGTCACGCTTCTCCACGCCCGGTGGCCAGCTTCGATAGTGCTGTCTTCTCCTTGAGCTTGGTGTGGTGCAATTGCATCTCGTGGACAGGAGAAAGCCAGTCATTACCGAGGGAGAAGTGAAAGTCCCAGCAGCCCCCATTCAGTCGCTATTGACTGCTCCGGTAGTTTTAAAGCTGCTTTGCTTTGTTGTTGACCACAGCCATGGTGGGAACAGCGTTGTCTAGACGTGTTCTCTTTGCTGGGATTTCCCTGCCATGGTCACCCGCGGCAGCTGTGTGTCCACGGCAAGTCCCCAAGTTCCCAAAGCAGCGCTTTGCATCTCCACCAGCTCAGGGACTTCCATGTGGTGCTGGGGACCATGGCATCGCTGCATGACCTTCTGCTGGCCCCTGGCTGTGCCCAAAAACTGCTGTTACCAAAAGCATCATCTTTGTTTTTTGGGATGTTTTATTTACGCTTGCTACTTCACTTCCCAGTGCAGTCCTGAAAGGGTGGTAAACTTCTGGAGACATTTTGTAGGAAGCCAAACCACGCTACAAAGTTCAAGTGACCTGCCACAGAGGGTGCAGGTGCGATTGATGCCTGGGAGGGCCTGATCCAGGCTCACCATTGGGCTAACCCACCCAAGAGGTGGGCTGTAAGATACATATTTGTCCCTCTGGAAAGTAAGTTCCCAGTCTGGGGGCAAACGGAGGAGCAGAGTCAGAAGCCAATGGCTCATGTGAGAACATGGGAGTGGTGGGGACGTGGGCGTGGTGCCCCCTGCCAGCCTAGCACCCAGATCTGATGTTGGCAAGGGGGATAATCCTCCATCTTCTTGGGCAAGGATGAGCTGGCTCTGAGTGCTTGAGATGCAGAAAGCATCCTGGCCTGTTAGTTAGCAGTCTGCATTATTTTTGTCTGGCTGAATGGTTTCCTTTCTTCTTTGGTAGTGCTCATCCCAGTGTAAGTGCTGGTCACTTATCATTAGGTAAAGAGGCTGATCTAGGAGTCAGGAGACAGTTGAACAGAGGCTGGGGCAGGAGGCCTGGTGAAGATGCTTGTCTTCATAGCACAATTTCCTATCATGAGATAGCCTGTCCATCTTGCTTTTGGGCTGAAACCTCTCTCCCCTTGAACTCTGCTGAATTTTGTAGAAGACCAGAGCATTCTCCCAGGCTGGCAGAAAGCACTCATTGCTGCCTGAGCAAAGTCTCTGATATCTCATCACCAGGCAGTTTTGTGGGGTCGATTTTTTTTTTTTAATTTTTTTTTTTAGCTAATGGCCTCAATCAGGAGATTTTTCTGACCAAGTGAACTGCTTTCTGGTTTGAAAGCCAATTCTCAGGTGTTTGCTCACTCAACTGTGTGTTCCAGGCAAAAGAACCCAAAGCAATTATGAAGATTGAACATCTAAATGCAACTTTCCAGCCTGCAAAAATTGGGAACCCACACGGACTGCAGATCACTTACCTGAAGGACAATAGCACAAGGAACATCTTTGTCTATCACGAAGATGGCAAGGTGAGAGCGTGGAGGTAAAAAGAAGGGCTGGGCTGTGGTCCTGGGGGGTTGATGCTGTTCAGAGCCAGCCTGTGGCACGCCAGACTCTGAGCTGGGAATGCTGGGGGGATGTGGGAGGGATGGGGGTACGGGATGCACAACCAGCTTTGAGCATGTTTGTCATGTTCTTCCAAGCAGGAAGGTTGTAAACCGTGTCTTCTAAATAACGAGACGCAAATGGAAGGAATTGCTGTTTCTCTGCTTGCACTAGACGTAGGGCATTTTTAAGGCAGGCTCCTCAACGCCTGGAGAAGGAGACAGGGTGAACGGAGCGATGACGGGTAAGGGGACTTGATCTAAGGACTCACAAAAAGGGAGCATAGGTGAACGGAGGAACTGGCTGTTTCTCTGCCTGTCTTGTACTTTATAAAATGCAAATCTGCATGGTTGTATTGAAATAAATACCCTTGCTTCAGTGCCCTTGTGCCTCTGAAGGGAGGTGTGCAGAAGAAGGCTGGCAGGTCGGGGGTGGTTGTTTGCACGAGGACAGCAGGACGCAGAGGCCAGGGCAGTGAGGGGGGCCCTAGCCCTCCTGGAGGGTGTCAGAGGGGTCCCAGCCTGTGGGGCCACCATGAAGAACAGCGACAGTCATCACGCTGCCCCGTGGGTCTTGTCTCCACGGGCTGGTGTCCATGCAGAGAGCAGACCCAGGTGAGTTTGCAGTGGGTGCCATCTTGCAGCCTTGTTTTAATGTCTTTTCTCCTTTCTTCCCTCCCCCAAATATTTGGGGCTCCCCATGAAATAGCAGCAGCCCTGGAGTGGCCACGCAATCAGAGCCTAAAGCTGTTACGTTCACATCGCGTCTGCTTTCCTCTGTCCGTCGCGTGCCTTCATCCTTTGATGTCACATCCTGTTCAACGCCCTGTCTGCCAGAGAGGCTTTCTGGGGGCGATCCCTCGTGCACCGGCACGTGGGGATTTGTGGGGTTGTCTCGGTGCACAGCCCGTTCCCAGCTGTTCACCCGGGCACAGCGAGCCAGGCAGCCCTGCTAGGGATAAGCAGTCTGTGCTCATAGAAGAGTCACTCCTCTCCAGACCGTATAGGCCAACAATGCCCCCAAAACCCAAGATATTCTTCATTCGTGGGTGAACAAAGCTGATCTCGCCTCTGCTGCTGCTCAGGCTCCGGGTGCCGTGGAGCCGGATGATGCCTGTCATGCTCGCAGGGCTGTGCTGCAGAGGCTGGACGAGGTTCCTGTGTAGTGCAGGCACTCCTGGCAGGAGGAAATTAGTGTGTCAGGTTGGGTTAATTAGTGGCATCGCCTGGTTTTGTACATGCACAGAAATGTGCATGTAATATGCGTATAATAGATATGCATAATAGATGGTTAGCCTGCCTGGCCTCTCACACCCTGCGGCACCACGGGGTCTCGCTGCATGGGTTTGAGGGTCCTGGGGAGCTGTTTCAGCAGGGCTGCTCCTGAATTTACCCTCCTCTCCATCTGCTCTGCCCGGTGGGATATGCAAGTCCCATGGTGCAAAGCAGGTACCGCTTGTCACCAGGTGCTGCTTTAGCACAGCAAAGTATCTCTGGGGTTGCTGTCAGGTACCTCCCTGGCTGCAATTTAAACTGAAATAAGAGGAAGAAGCTCTTTCCCATGAGAGCTGCATCCCACCATCATGCCCATGTCTGGTTTGCTGCGCTTTGGTGGTCCACTCAGCCCAGCTGTGAGGAACAGTGTCAGGGTTTTATTATTTGGTTTTTAGGTTTAAAATGTTGAGCTTTCTGCTGGGGGCTCATGGAAGGAGCAGTCTCACAGGTCTCACGTGGTTGCTCCTGCCTTCGTGTCAGTGGTTTGGCAGGACATGCTCTGATGCCATCTGATAACGCCCAGGTTGAATTTCTTTCAACTTCCCTGATACTGGTCTTCCCCTTCGGCTGAGTGAGGGCTACAAGAAGATCACACACCCTGGGGTAAGCTACCACCCTTTGGGACTGCAGGCAGCCCCGGGACTCGCCTGTGGTCCCCCACTGCCCTTCGCTCCTTCCCGTACTCCCCCAGCAGCCCCAGGGTGTCCCCTTGTACCCCAGAGGTGCTGCCTTGCCCCGATCTGAAGTGCTTGAGCCTGATTTAGGCTCCTGTCTCATATTTCTGGGGTGGGACAGCATCATGCTTCAGAGCTTCACGGGGTGGGACAGCATCATGCGACTTGGCTGGAGATGTAGTTCCTGCGTGACCTCAGCCTGGTGGCTTCATCAGCTCCTCGGTGTGTCCTGACGGCAAATGAGAGGCTGAAACCTGAAATGATCCGAGGGCTGGAGCACCTCTCCTATGAGGCCAG